TGTTGTGTTACTGACACTTTGTTTTACTTTGTTGTGTTACTGACACTTTGTTGTGTTACTGACACTTTGTTTTACTTTGTTGTGTTACTGACAACTGACACTTTGTTTTACTTTGTTGTGTTGTGACAACTGACACACTGACACTTTGTTTTACTTTGTTGTGTTTCTGACACTTTGTTTTACTTGGTTGTGTTACTGACAACTGAAACTTTGTTTTACTTTGTTGTGTTACTGACAACTGACACTTTGTTTTACTTTGTTGTGTTACTGACAACTGACACTTTGTTTTACTTTGTTGTGTTACTGACAACTGACACTTTGTTTTACTTTGTTGTGTTACTGACAACTGACACTTTGTTTTACTTTGTTGTGTTACTGACACTTTGTTTTACTTTGTTGTGTTACTGACACTTTGTTTTACTTTGTTGTGTTACTGACACTTTGTTTTACTTTGTTGTATTACTGACACTTTGTTTTACTTTGTTGTGTTACTGACACTGTTTTACTTTGTTGTGTTACTGACAACTGACACTTTGTTTTACTTTGTTGTGTTACTGACAACTTTGTTGTGTTACTGACAACTGACACTTTGTTTTACTTTGTTGTGTTACTGACAACTGACACTTTGTTTTACTTTGTTGTGTTACTGACAACTGACACTTTGTTTTACTTTGTTGTGTTACTGACAACTGAATCTATGTTTTACTTTGTTGTGTTTTGTTTTACTTTGTTGTGTTACTGACAACTGACACTTTGTTTTACTTTGTTGTGTTACTGACACTTTGTTTTACTTTGTTGTGTTACTGACAACTGACACTTTGTTTTACTTTGTTGTGTTACTGACAACTGACACTTTGTTTTACTTTGTTGTGTTACTGTGTTACTGACACTTTGTTTTACTTTGTTGTGTTACTGACACTTTGTTTTACTTTGTTGTGTTACTGACAACTGACACTTTGTTTTACTTTGTTGTGTTACTGACAACTGACACTTTGTTTTACTTTGTTGTGTTACTGACACTTTGTTTTACTTTGTTGTGTTACTGACAACTGACACTTTGTTTTACTTTTGTTGTGTTACTGACACTGTTTTACTTTGTTGTGTTACTGACAACTGACACTTTGTTTAACTTTGTTGTGTTACTGACAACCGACACTTTGTTTTACTTTGTTGTGTTACTGACACTGTTTTACTTTGTTGTGTTACTGACAACTGACACTTTGTTTACTTTGTTGTGTTACTGACAAGTAACACCTTAATTTACTTTGTCTAACTGCATCTGTTTTATTTATAAATATTACACCTTGTTGTTAAACTCTGATATTATTAATCTCGATCCTGTCGACCACGATAGATCCTTAACTTATAAGCAAAGATTCAAAAACCCTAAATGTCTTCTGTCTGCTGTCATCATTGTTCCAATTCATTTTGGATTGTTTTTAGTACATTTTGGGTAACCTCATCACGTTCGAAAACCTTTTTGCTTTATTGTTTGTAAAAATACCATCTTTTCGACAGGATAACATTAACAATGAACAACGAAAAGGACATTACTAAAAAAAATTAAAAAAAAAAGTGAAATGCTGAAAATTGAGGACGGTTTTTGCACTCTGTCTTAAAAGAGCTATCAGTATTTAAAACTATTTTGTTTCGGAATTTGAATAAATTTCCTTTTCAATAGGAAAACGAGCGCAGTTTGCTATCCACGAAATAATTTACTACAAGAGCATTTAATACACTGTATGCACACACCAAATCCTATTTCCATATACTTGTTGTTATTTGTTGTATGTGAGGTACAATATATACAAACATTTTATCAATTTAACAAAATAAATAATCAATGCAGAAGTTACAAAATTAGCGATATCAACCAAGGTTGTTATGCATGTACATGTACATACCTGTAAACATATCTTTATGTTACAACACTGGTATCATGATACAAATGTATTATAATTTAGTCATTTATTCTAAAAAAAGATAAGAACTTTAATTATAGTTAATTATAATCCTTGTATGATATTTTTCCACACCCTCCCCGATTGCAAGTCAACAAAAGAACGATGTAAACCTATAGCATTCAAGTGTATTGGATAACACCGCTTAACAACTGTTAGTAATATGTCAAACTCTAATCAGTCTGACTTTCTAAATGTAAAGTAAAGTAATGTTACAAAATCGTTTTTACAGACACGACAATCTCAAGTAATACATTTGAAGAAAAGTTTGGAATTCGACAGAGAAGGTAAATCACTTCATTTCTCGATGGTTCTGTGATAGAGGATGGGGTGCGGTTCGAGTAGTGGTACAGCTGGGCCTAATCATGACACCAAGAAACCAGACAACCGCGACAAAGACGACACTCTAGTGGAACCTCAGACAGACCCAGTATGTAACATTGTAATGATAGGTGATATTTACATTTGTGACTTTTTGTAAAAACTGCAAATGACATTCACTGCTAGTGGACTAGTCCCCAACATTTGCAGTAATCTGCATGCCAAGTATGATTTAAATTGAGTTAGGTAGTAAGTAGTGAAATATAATAAAAAAAATTAGATTAACACTTATATTTGTTTGTTGATGGAATGTTCAACCATCTATAGTATTGTCTACAAATACTTATTTCTTTTTCTTTTCCTTCTGATACAATGATAATGACCTTGACTGTTAATAGGATATAATGTAAAAATAAACTGAACTTTCCCGTTACAACCATGTACATGAACATGATAACCGACACTTATCAATCAATCAATCAATCAATCAATCAAACAAACATGTCAGTCGATCGGCCAGTCAGCAACATTAATATTAGATACAGTGTGGGTACGTTTGTGATCTTTTGTACAATCTCAAAAACTACAAATGACATACACTTGTAATGGACTAGTCCCCAACATTTGCATTAATCTGCATGCCACGTATTGTTTTATTTAAGTAAGGATTTTCCTCGATCTAGATTTTAAAACTGAAGCATCCTTAGTATCTCTATCCAGTCAAGTGCTAGAGGGATAAAACAGCTGTGTGATGATATTTAATTCGTTATATGACTCTCCTTTATCTAATTCTGTATTTGTATATTGCTATTCACTATTGTGTTGTGTAATCTTCTGATAGAATTAATTACACACAATGAAACATAAGTTTACTGACAAACAATTAGAGCTGTGACTTAAGGTAACATCAAATCGTAAACGGAATATTCCCATAGACAATGACCAAAGACAAAGGTATTCCGTTTCACTTGGGGCTGTTTTACTGCCATCAATTTCTATCTTACCTAACAAGTAATGTTTATTAGAGATTTGCCCTCCCATGCCACGTTTAAGTTCTGGCAGATAGTGATACGGTAACGAATACAACGTTCGTTTTAAATTCATACAGTTTATAGAAGTATGTATTAAATAATGGAATTATTGGGCATGGCGTTCTACAGCTGAACATTTACTTCTTAATTCACCTCCTCAACTTTCACATTTTGGGCCCCTCAAGTATCACTAACGAGTCCCCGGAAGGACAATATGACATCTTTATGATTATTAAGCATTAATAATCATTTTCAAACTAGTTTGGTATTATTTACGTGTCTTAGATACAAGTTCCTTGTTAATCGTACTCTGGCTCGTTAAACCTATTTTGTGACCTATATTTTCTTGGAGATACATGTATGTTGTATGACCTATAATAACATGTCTATTGTAATCCTAATACATACAACTATTCAAGTTTATTGTGTACATAACCGAACAAATATACTTCAACGTAAATGATTGATAACTTCAATATTCCCAATCGTGTCGATTAGAAGTTGTATTCATAAAATAGAGATGACACGTAGAGGATACATATATATGTATATAAAAGTAATTCATCATCTCTTTTATCATAAATACACACTGTCGAAGAGGAATGTTTATACAGCATATGCGCTTTGTGTTTAAAATCATTAAATATTTCATATGAGAAGCCGGTTTCGACTAAATGAAGTTTCATAAATTTTTTGCTCTATATATTTCTACGTTTGCATTGCCTTAATAATTGAGAATTTTTTTGGCAAATGCTTCATAGCAGAGAACAGAATTTAACGCCATAATAACACATATAGCAGAAATTACAAATGGCGGTGTCTTTTTGTCAAGTATATGCACATTGCCGGAAAAAGAAAACCAACATGTGTACAAAATCTTAATCCAAATTCAAAAGACAATACATAAACTAGGGCAAAATATGGACAAAAGAAAGATTTACCTGGACACTCATGAAAAAGGACAAAGAGAATGTTACGTAAGAGTAAGCGTGTGATGCGTCATTGACGACACCTGTCATTAAAACTTTGTTAATCCAAGTAAGTAATGTCACGTTCACAAATTAGAACAAGGTATACAACAACGAAACCAACAGGCAAACCTACCAACTCTGTACACGTTCAGTTTCAATTCGCACACAGAAAAAACATATTCCTCAATGAGAAATATATCACGATCGACACTATCCGCTCATTAAGATCATTTTTTTTAAATCCCGCCATATTTTGTGGACTTTTTGGGATCGATTTTTCTGTTTTTTTTTTCCTTTAAAATGTTGAGTTAAAAATTAAATAATTAACTGTTGACTATCGTGTCCATTTATCATGGTTTTATTGAAATATTTTACTGTAAAATACATATATCGATATTTTGTCAAAAGTCTGATATATATGACATTCATCTGGAAACCAATAATTGCCGTCTACAAGCAAAACAGAAACGCATTGCACCGAAAAATAATACTGAACAACCAACTCATCATAGATTCTGGCAGAAAATACTGAAACTAGTTTGTATTTTTTATTGCTTCACAAAGTACAAACATTGTACTAAATTGTACTTTAAAACAACTAAGATTTTGCTCTTTTTAATAATGTACATAGTTGTAATTAATGATGGCATTGTAATATATTTGTTTAGGCTGATTTTCCTTACATTCCTGATGGCTATCCTCCACCCAAACCGTCGCGGACGAAAAAGAAAATGCTTTTCGACAAGTCCGCGTTTGCCAACATTGAAGAACGAGCTATAGACGTGAGTATCATTATTGGTATAAATGAATTGTCTGGGGCAAAGGTCATTCTTCGGACATATATAGAGCAGCAGTCAGGACCAGAATTCCAAGTTTAAATAAGATATATACATTTAGAATATTATAGAATAATCGTTGTTTGACAGGGATAGTAAAATATGTTAATCAGGAGAATTACTACAACACTAACCAAGATATCTTTGTCATTACTTGTAGGCACCTGCCGCAGTTGGCAACAGTTTCACGGAATTGTACGACTATCTATTCATGGGTTTGACAACTGATCTTGAGAAAGTCAGGGCTATATTCTGTTGGATTGGCCACAAAAATCAAACAACATGCCAGGCAGGACCTGTTGATTCTCCGAATTCGATTCTACAACAAGTCCAGAATAAAAACATGTCATTTGCCTACATGTTCGCCAGATTATGCAGGTATTTCATACTGAAAAACGCCAATAACAGACGAAAACATTATATACTGACAATATTATAGCGACATTGTGTACAATGTATAAGGGTGACTTTGCCTATACAACAGTCACCAATGTCGCTTCCGTACTGAAAATAAGTACAAGGTGACAATCAGACAAATCGGATATTTATTTTTCTCTTACCTCTAAAAGGCAAGAAGAAAATTAGATCTCCATTTACAGAATGGTTTCTACACATTCATTTGAACAATTTATTCAACACTTAAATATATGTTATATTCGTACAGTCGTGCAAAGGCTGGTAATCTAGGTAAACATAGGATTTATATTTACATTGCCGGCTCAAGAAAGAAAGAAGAGATACTTTGGTGTGTGGTTGTCCATACAGCTTGGCTTTGTTAACTGCTGTTTTCCCCCAGTCTACTGTCTGTGACACTTGTCATTTTGTTCATACTAACACGTTTTTCACTTCTTCATTGGTCTTGCCATCGTTTGCTTATGTGATCTCAGGCTGACATGGCGATAAGTGATTCTCAGAAAGGTTGTATTCTTAGGCAAGACACGTAAACTTACTGCTCACGATGGTCTCTTTATGTTGTTCAGAGAGGTAGGCAGTAGAAACATACAGAAATAACCCGTGTCAAATCGGCACTGGCTGTTCACGGGGCGATACATCCAGAAAATAAATTCTAGTTGGAAATATTCGTTATCACTGAGATTCCTCTCTGTCTTCGTTATTTATCCTCTTCTCATTTACATATACATATGCTTTTGTTGTTCAGGGAAGGAAACATCCCCTGCGTGATAATTCAGGGTGTAGCGAAGAGTGCGGGGTACGAGGTAGGCGATGTTGAGTCCAGAGTTACAGAATTAAGTAACAAATGGAATGGAGTATATCTGGCGGGGGAATGGAGGATCGTCTTTCCATTATGGGCTTTCTCGGCTATCACTGGACATAGTACCGGAAAGTTTACACTAGTCGAATCAAAAGGTAAGATGCGTTACCAAAATTAGATACCATGTACAGGAAAATTGATAGATATACATGTTTGTTATTAGGTAGGATTTGCTACAACCTTACTCGATTATTTTTATGCTCATGCATATGTGTTTGCTTAGCACTGATCAGAAAGACGTAGTGATTTATAATAATATTAATGGTTATAAAGCTAAAGTAGGAATTATATACAAAATACGTATAAACAGTATATATATAGTATATATTTATACTGTTTATTGTAAATACCTCTTATGTGTGGGAGCAAAAACAATTAATATATGATCAATGAAGTTATAACGACAACACGAACAAGTCAATGGTCTTTATTAAGACACAAATATAACATAGATTAAATCATAGACAGAGAATATAAAATAAATACAAAGTTATAAACTATAATTGAGAACGATAGTGTAAAAGGTGTCTCGATAATCCTTTCGGCCTATGGACGCCGAAGGCCCTGTATATGGTGCAAAAAACATCTAAGTTGTTTGAAAGATTAAAATTGCAGAAAAAAGTTTTATATAAATCTCGGTACTTTGTGCACGGTAGCTATTGAGCTAAACTTACATTACCGTTCCCTATTTTAGTTTATAACTTTGAACTTGTTTAAGGTTCCATGTATGTTATGATTTATGCTATAATTAATGTCCGTACAGTCGTTATTACCTCATTGAACATTATATATATGTTTCAGTAATACGTATCCATAGAACATTTGTTTAATAGGATCCAGTACCAATATTAGATCATATCGTCGATATTATAAGCGAAATTTCAACTTCTTAAACAAAACTTCAATACAGTAAATCCAGAAAATATATTTTTGGGCTTCATCGCTTGTTTTGGCCTTTCACACTGGTTTGTTAGAATGTAAACTTTACCTTGACATAATGGGTTGATGTTGTTCCTAACCTCTAAGCGTTCTCGATATCATTATTTCTGTACTCGAATTATTGAAAAGAACAAAAACATATGATTTTGAGAAATTTATTTGGAATATCTGATAATTCGTGATCCTTGTCAGTTCTGTATATCTCAGAAATGTACGTTTTAACACAATTGAACAATGATCTGAAACATCTACCTTTAGGAAATGCTGCTCGGGAAAAAGAAAAGAAGTCATCTGGTGTCAACATTGTCCAGTTAAATGAATACTATTTCCTAACTGACCCAAACGACTTTGTGTGTGTAGCAATGGCGACAGATCCGAGATGGCAATTCACTGAACAACATTTTAATCTTGATCGTTTCTGTAGCATCCCTTTTCTTCGTCCAAGTTACTTCAACCGGGATGTAGAGATAACGTCAGGGTATAGCTCACGTTTACACTCAGAAAACGGAGAGGTGGCGGTCGGATTCAAAGCAACAGATGACAAATGGCAGGGTTTCTTGACATACGAACTGTTTTTTAATGACGAAGAATCCAAGTCGGTCTTGCCTTCGGAAATGCAGCTAGATAGATATGTACTCATGGAACGAAATTTCCAGCGATGGAATTTTATTGTGAGGTGTCCTGTTGCCGGGGTGTATAAACTAAGCATTTATTCTCAGCCAAATGGATTGTATAATGTATGGATATGCGACTTCAAAATATTCTGTGATAAAGTGGCCGAGGGTGGAACGAAAGCTCTTCCAGTTAATGTCGGTACTGTTGGCTGGGGACCGAGTAACGATATGGTAAAGGCTGGACTAACAGCACCGTCACAGAGGAAAGGATTCGTCATGGCAACGGCGAGAAAAGAAGTACATTTCAGTTTTACTTGTTCAAAAACGGTGTCTGTAAGGACGGTTCTTGTCCACAACGAAACATCTGAGGAACAGCTTCAGTCATACGTGTCTCAAAAAATTAACAAAAAGACTAACAAGTTAAATGTTGCAGTCTGCTTACCTGATGAAGGAGAATATGCACTACAGATCCATTCTAAGGACAAAAGCACGAATACAGAGCGTAACGCTTGTAATTACATGATATCCACAGAACCAACTCCAGAACAAAAGAAAAAGAGACAAAAACGGGAGGTAGGAAATATTATTTGCTGGCCAAGAGTTATATCCATTATTTAAATATGGGTGTCGTTATCGATGTCGTACAGTTAATAGTTTATTGTGTGCATAGACTGCGATCACAAAAAGGCTTAGAGTATTTCAAAGAAAATCATTTGTTTTCATTTTCGTTTCTTTCTAGTTGTATCAAACTTACATATCCCTCTTTACAGTTAGCTTTATATAAAATTGCCATGAAAATATCCTTATATGTATAAATCCTACATTTTCTCGAAATCTTTACAAGAAGGTATTTGAGTTTGAAGTGGCAATTAAAGGGAGGCAACTATGAAGAAATTCAGTTCGCTTAGCAGGCTATTCACACATTGACAACAGCACGAATATAAATAAATAATTCTGCAAAATAACAATCTCTGCTATCGCTATCTTTTTCAGAATGTGACAGAGAGAAAGGCTAGAGATGACCTGAAAACTACTTCGAATGGAAAGGATTTGGATAAACTGACAATGTCAATTGCTAAGTTCCAGAAAATGGACTTGGATGATAAGGGCGATTTAGACGTCGCTTTGAAAAGACAAAACTTTCTAAGCTTACAGAAGGGTACGGTTTTGTTAATATATACTTTATACAGAAAAAAGGAGTCAAGCTTGTTCAGTTATGTACTATTTTGCCTTATATTGTTACAGCTTTCATTGTATTTTCTTTGTTGCTGTCTTTTGACAGGTTTGAACGATGCTATTATGCGGCGCCATGTAGAGGTCCTTGATACCGCTATTACGAATGCAGAGAACTCAGAATTCAAGACCACGCTTGAACCAAAGATCGACCAAGCGGACCAGCTGAGAAAAGAGCTGATAAAACTGAATAGATTTGCACACGATGTTCTGGCCATGAAGCAGCCGACTGTGTCAGAACTCCATAGCTACAACATAGTACAGCCTCCTATCATGGACGTGATGGTAGCTACATTAACACTTCTTGGTGAACCAAAAGATAATCTACAGGTAATAACAGCTGTAATAAAACAAAAAGGATATCAAAATCTCTTCCAATTAGAAATATAGGAATTTGCAAACACTCGTTAATCCTAGTTTACTCATCCCCCAACGTGCTGAAAATCTCCTTTACTTCTCGGAAGCATGCCTAATTCACCTCCGATATCTGTATATAAAGTGAAAGTATTTGTCTGGCATTGCAATAGAAGAAGGTAAATGTTTATCATCATTCCTGTATTTTGTTGAAGGGCTTTATGTTGATATATTTGCATCATTAAAATATATATATTCGTGTCAAATAAGTCCGCCTGATACTCTCAACTTTCCCATGAAGTCAATCTGTCTATTGATTGTTTGAATATATTACATTACGGGGATAAGAGCAAGGTTTTTTGCTTCGTAATGTTGATAGCAGGTGCACATACTGGTTGAATAGATATTGAACAGAGTCGGGTTTTATATGACATCAAACATTATCTTTCTTTTACTTGAATAACTTTATAAAAGGGAGAGGATATTATGATTTACATATTACGTAAGATTGTTAAGTAAATTAAAAGCTATAAGGATGGCTTTTATTTGAACATGTCTTTTTGTGTTGCTAGGATTGGCAGGACATACAGACCTTATGCAGGAGAACTGGACGCAACTCGTTGATTCGTCGGGTCCGAGAGTTCCCTGAAAAACGAGCACAACATGTGGAGCCTAGTACCGCGGCGGAGGTCCAAGCTATTCTTCGGAAACATGATGAAGACACCGTCCGACTTTGTAGTCCTGCCGCAGGCACATTCTATGTCTGGGTAAGAGTGTGAATTTTTATGTGCATTTGACGATGTAATTGTAAGAGACAGATTTGATATTTTTTCTTTATACTTACTGTGTGAAAATTATATACAACAGCACTAACAATATGTGGAAAATTACTAAAATGTTAATGCTAATGCATTCATGAGAATTGGAAGTTAACAAACTAATAATCAAAGTCAAAATTATATATTTCTATTGCAGGTAAACAACGTAGTGACGGATATAATAGATTCCAGTAATACAAGAAAAGTGAATACCGGTGGTTAAACCTTTTTTTCTTCACAATGTAACTTCAGTCGATATAATCTCAAGTGACCTACTGGCGTATGTTATCAAACTCACAAGGGTTCATGAACGTTTTGCAAGAAGGCTTTGTTGCAATATATTGACAATGATAGTCTGAATTATTCACATGTATATTCATTTCACCAAGAATAAATATTAAAAAAGTATCCTGCTACACTGAGCAAAGTCCTGAAACAAGCGAAATAGAGAACGGTCGGCATGAACATCGTGACGTCACTCTACAGAGAAAATAATCGCAGTTTTTGCTGCATGACATCTAGTAGTGTGTTATAACAGTATGGCCGCAGGCAGCTGTTCACCTCCAAGTGTATATCAGAAATAATTACCTTAAAATAGAAGTACACTAATGAACATTTGAACAATTTATAATCTGTGATAAAAAGATATCATTTAAATATACAGATGACATTTACCAGAACACACATAGAAAATAATGTGGTAACAAAGTTGTGTGTAGATCATTAAGAAAATATGTAGTATAAACAGCTACATGAAATAACTGTTACAGACTTGAAACTACTCGAAATATCGTGATGAAGAAAGAAACAAACGACATTTATTTATAGAAAATGGTCTCAACTGGAAGCCAAAATTTACTGGATTAGTCTAAGTTGGAAAGCAAAGAAACATAATTCCTCACTTGATTTTTTCACCAAAACTGTTACAAAAATGTAAATTATAAACCCTACGTATAAATGTCAACATTAATAATGATATGGTACTATACATAACTAACACAATATGACAATGATTAAAGTACATCCTTAACGCAAAGTTAATTCAATGACAATAAGGATATTCATTGGACGACTTCATAGAAATTATCATCGGTGTTGCATTTGATTGTGTTTCATTGATTGTATAAAAACTTTGTTCTATTGAATCAATACGGATATTACCATATTTTTAATTTAATTTGTATATATTCATACCTACAAGCCCATCGGATGGTCAATAGCTTAGTCCCATTTCTTAGCGCAGTCAACTGATTTTAATTTCTCATACAAATATGTTACACTAAGCATTGCTTTGAAAACATTGTATATTACAATACTTATATTTCCTATTATGAGGTAGCTGCATTGTTGCAGAAGTTTGAAGATTGACAGGTTATATGATAAAATTAGTATGACATATCTTTATATTATCATTGTTCGGTCAGGATGCAGACTTGGTGGTCGGTTAAAATTCATGTTTGCCAGAAATTAAATCTGTTAGGTTTATCTGCATGAGCTTTTAATTAAGGATCAAAGTAAATATTGCATAAATATCCAGTCTTGGTTTATTTATTTCAAAATTATAAGCAATTCACGCTGGTATCAAAAAGTAGATCGATGAAATAAACAAGATCTAAAATTAGTATCATGAAAAACATCAAGAAAATACCAGCATGTCAACATAATCATAATCACAATTCAAATTCATTGAAACGAGAGCAAAATATGATCAAATGAAAGACTTACACGGATACGCCTAGAAGAGTACAAAAAGGATACGACCAGGTGTTCCGGTAGAGTCAGCGTCTCCAACGTTATCCACGACACCTGCCATGTAAGCCTTGTTCAATCCAAGTAAATAAAATCACGTTCACAAGTAAGAACAAGGAAACCAACAGGCAAACTAACGAGCAACACGTCCAACTTAAAGGTTAACCTATTTGGTAATGAATTTGATATTAATCATAAAAGAATTCAATTAATTTCGAATTGAAAACAGGCCGATTCTGACTTTTTGTTAAGACACTATATTCCACATGAATGATTTATTTTTGTTTTGCCTACATTAGATTGTACTTTCGTTAATATCAATATTCCATAAGAGTATATGATATAAAAAGAAAGAAACAAAATGTCAAATCAAAGATGAGAAGATAGTACTCTATCGTAAACTGGAAAACAAACATAGACACATATAGACATCAGTATAAAAACGTGTTAAAAAATGATGACTCATTGCATGCACATGAAGTACATTTGATATCATATTTTAAGCTTAAGTATCGGAAATGACTTCAGTTTAAGAATATAATAATAAGCGACAAACATGTACAAAATTGTATTAACTTTACTTTGCTTGTTTGAAATCAATCGTGAAAAGATTATGTAGAAAAAAGTATTTCTAAAAAAACACGACTGTACAGTAAAAAATTGAATATGTTGATTTTCATAGTAGTGGAAATCTCGTCAGTTAGTGATTATGAAAATACGAAAGTTGAATTATAAAACAGGTTTACAGTTACGAGAATAAACACTATTGTGTTAGATTGTGTTTAATTTCAAGGCAGGATTCATCAAAAAGCAAGTGAAACCAAACTATTTAAAACGAAAAAAAATAGTGTGTTAACTTGTGTCGAAACTCATAACGTGATACTCTCCGTGTGTATATATGTATGTGTAAGGTCCTTTGCTCTTTTGACTAAACCTGACGATGCAGAACACGCTCGCATTCCACCCACATGTGCCGCAGTGGAACAGCACCAGTCCTGTATACTGTAGCTGTTGCTATAGTGTGGTTAAGATTCTAACAATATGTTCCTTGGAGCTGCTTTGGGATACTTAATCCTAGATGACACACAGTGCAGACTTTTCCATAACCTTCCATGGTAAGGTTTGTTACTTATATTAGATACAATCGCAGAATATCCGGGTTAATATGAATGCCTGTCTAGAATGAATGTATGATGGCCACTCAAAATCAGTTGATCTATTTTACAACCCATCATAACAGATGCTCATTTTTCCATTGTAACTAGTTGTTGAGTTATTTTCTGCTAGTATTGATTTGTTTTACACAGCTCAGTAAGAGAATATACATGTAGCACAGACAAAAATGTCGATATGGTTCTGTAAGGGGTTGTCTCATAGGATTATTATGTACAGTGTAACGCTTATATCCTATATAGCAAGTGTATTTATTCAATTGTGTTTATGCCACTGAAACGAATGTTATTTAAAAGGCTACTCAATCATTATACGTTAATTTCCTACCAACATTAAAAATGCTTGTCCCAATTAATGTCAGGTGTTACTTTTATGAACAAGACATCCTTGTTAGCCTGTTATCAAGCCTCAACTCACCCTCTTATGTAAGACATTGGTTTGAACCAATCGAACTTTTACCATATCATTGCTACAATTGTGTGTTTTTCATTAAATTTCTTACGCGGAGGAGTATATATCACGATATCATGGATGAACTTCCAATTTTCCTTGGAATTTCGATATTTTTAATGAAGAATTTAAAATATGTGTTTCCAGGAAAAAAAACTTAAAGTTGTAGTTTACAAACGCATTTAAATCTATAATTAACGATCAAATAAACGTAGTTAATTATGGTAGGTATATACTTGAAAATGTATGTGTTTCATTTTATTCAGAACCTAGTCCTCCAAAAAAGAGACAACAACGATATATCATCTATGCTGGAACTAAGTAACGATAGTGTAGACTGATTCTGGCATTTACAAACTATAGTGGACAATGGATACGTCGATGGACTCACAAGATTCGGTGGCTGAATTACTGACACATGCCATAGATTTTGCCAACGTGATGAGCTATTCGGTAGATACTGTTTACAAGCCCATCGCCGAGGAAGCTGTTGCATACGGCAAACGTCTAAACGTCGATGTGGTGAAGTGTGGAAGCCATGCCGAGCGGATGTATTTACCGTATTTCAGTAGGTCGAATGATAAAGCAGTATGGGCGACTGACGCCAGCACAGATATAGATATGATGTTTGTTTTTGATAATTATAGTATAGTGTCAGACATTCAAACGCAAGATAAGGAAAATATTCTTCATATTAATCAATATCAACTTGTAGAAGCCAAACACCCAGGATACTACTACATGCTACCTATAACTGTTGAACCATGTGAAATGTCTCAGATACAGCAAGTCGGGTTATCGAGCGAAACACTCAAGATGCAGCTAGAAAGTTCTATCATGCAGAACAGAAACAGTAGTGTAAATCTTTTGTTCATGGAGAAACCTACTCTAAATGGACCATCCGTAACATTTCAGTCTCGAGCGAATAGTGGAGTTATGATTTCAATAGACTGCGTGTTCGGTGTAAAATGTTCCTCTTGGCCAAGACGGCTGGAAAAGTTTTTCACAAGGGTAGAAAATTGTGATTGGCCAGGCTCTGACATTCTTAAAGATATAAGAGATCAGGGATGTCATTTGGTGGCTATCGGCTCACATGGCAGTGTCTTACGGCCCTACGAGTGGAGATTATCGTCAACAAGGGCAGAGAGAATGCTAGCATTGTCTTTGTCAGCTAAACAACGCCTGGCATATCAGATTGTGAAGTCAATGATCAAATCACACGAGAAAACAAAGTGCATTTCGTCTTACTATATTAAAACGGCTCTTTTTTGGCTTTGTGAAGAACGTCATATTGATGTCTGGGCGGAATCAACAAATCTGCAGAATGTTAAAAGCCTGTTGCAAAAGGTACTTCAATTTGTTTCGAACAAAAACGTCCCCAACTATTTCATAGAAGAGAACAACCTCGTAGATCACTTTGAAGACGAGATGTTTGCGCAAGCCAATGAAGGTCTTTTAGAACTATGCAAAACGTTACTGCAAGGACTAGCACAGCTTTTAGAACTCGTGTCAGTAATGCCAGTAGAATTTCAGCACACGCCAAAAGAGATGGTTACATCGGGAAATTCGAGAGAATTACTGGAATACCTGTGTGTTAACTTTTGTTTCGCAAGCATGGTTTACACAATTTCATCTCAAATAGAAAATAAAACGCACGTTAACTATTTGTTTCTGGCAGAAGCTATTTTTAAACACCTGACTAGTTCGTCACAGATCGGACAGATAGACACATTCATGACACAAGTGGCAACTGGGCATTCCCTTCTCCAGACACCTGGTGCGCCTTTTAAGGAGGGATGGTCTCTCTCAAGATCAGGTCTGAATTCTGCTTGTAGCCTGCTAGAAAATACGCTCCAATATTTTCAGGCAAAGGAGACAGACTTGGAAGTCATTTGGAAACTGTGTACAGAAGTAGCAAATATTGCCGCTACTCTTCTTCATGGCTATTGTCAACCAACCGACGTGGGGACAAGTGTCGCTAACGATTGTATATATTTGCTCGACAAAAGCGCACAGCTGCATCACGAGTACGCCTTTGCATACACACAGAAGTACTGGACGCGGTATCCACAATATCGTATAGAACCAACAAAGAACCCAAACAAACTGTCTTATTACTTCTTAGAAATGTGGATAATGATACTCATAAAATACAAAAGAGAGGATAACCATCAGTTTGGGAGAATTGGCCGTGGCAACGAAGACAACATGCGACTTCCAATTTGTGTACGCCGATTGGTAGACTTCATGCTTTTCTATGATTACGATAAAACTTGGGTTCTTTTGCAAATCGATTCATCTTTGTTTGGTGGGAGACCTATCGCAAATTCTCTCAAGTTAAGACGTATTGAGCATTCCTCTACAAACTGGAAATTGGATGGTGTCATTAATCTGACAAAACTGAAACTCCGCGCAAAAGCTTACAAGACAGACAAAGAAAAGTGCCAGCTACAAGCGGAATTGGGCAAACTGTGGCACGTGAAAGGAAAGAAAGAATACTCATTTGATGAACCCGAAAAATCACTAAGTCATTCGCAGGAACATTTCAGAGAAGCACTCAATTCCTGTCCGTCCGACGTATCAGCGAAAGTTGATCTCGCACTTCTTCTGATGACATGCAATCGTTTTAATGAAAGTCTTGGTCTTCTTCGTGAAGCCTTTAATTCAGAAGAGGGTGGATCCTCCGTGAATACATACGATCTCAACACATATCGTACTCTCCTTGGTAACATACAAGAATTCTTCGACAACAAATTTCCAGTGGTCATACCCACACTTCTGCTTGCATGTTATTATGTTCTGGCGATTCACAAATCAATCAAAGTTTCGCGGGATCAATCATTATTTGATCAATTATTGGTTTGTCTGAAGGAGGCTATTTCCACAAGTGACGACAAAATCCAGAGATTTGGACGGTTTATACTTGCAGAATTCCTTTCTCACTAAACGCATGTTCCGAGGTCGACGTACAAAAAGACCGTTTTATTAACGGCAATGATGAGCTTCAATTCGTGCTACTTCGTCATTACTAGTCGATGCAACTTCCTAATCATGACATATTTGCAAATATCGGCATGCTAGTAATTGTTTCTTACCATCCATTGACTTTTTATATCCGACTTTTTATATCTATGACTTTTTATATCTTTGACTTTTTTCCTTTCATTTATAATTTACTTACGGCTATTTGATGTCTGTATTAAAATTATATTTTACTTTTTTTATAACACACTTCACGTGGTTCGGTTAAATTATAGTGTGTTGAGAGAGACTGCTAACAACCAAAGTACGTAATGTACATCCCTTAGTTAGTAATGTAAGAGTTGTCTTCCTTTAACTGTGTTACTGATGTCAGAGAATGGCGCCATTGTTATACCTTCTGAATATTACTCGAATTTTCTCACTTTTTTGGTATTTTTGGTGTCTAAACTCTTCACATTCCGGACGGGTTTTCGGAGCTTAACTGATTCGCTGGCATATTTGGGTATTCTTTATTCATCGGATAGAAGTATGCATGCTTACTAAACAATGGCTGTATTTGACGTCTGGATTGAGACAGTGAAACAAACGAACCATTTTTTTAATGATTTGAAGTACGCTAAATACATATTTGGTTGTTTGAACTATATATGTATATAACCTTGGTTGTTCTCCAATATTAATTATCTATACCAAACACTGCAATATCTGAAATCCAATTTACCAAGCGAGAACGCTCGGTGAGTCTAACCATCTTGGATCTGATATCAAAAGACTATTGCAACTGATTTTACATGTGTTCATTGAAAGATGTTTATGTTAATGAACATCTTAAATTTTGTACTGATAAGATGTTGTGTCGGTTTGTTTCAATGATGATTATGCAGCAGCCCTTTCAACGAGACAAAAATGGCAATAAAGAGAGTGGTTCTTAATAGGGAGAATGGATGACTCCGTTTTGATGAAGTGAAATCGCAGACAATTAGACATTGTCCACTTGTTACAGTATAGTCTTGTTAATGGTTCTACACATACAACTGTCTAGTAGCATGTAGATACATCAGCATTGTTGGTGTGGAGCTCCTATGTTATAACAATACACTTTGTTGACTGAACATTGTGGATCAAGTTGTGATGACTTATGCCTAATCCATAGTCAGGCTGTCCAGCACTTCTTGACAAAAAATTTGGGCTACTTTTAGTGCAAATTTAGGGCTAAAATTAACAATGTTGTAACTAGAATGAGAGTATGAACATTAAACTGACTTACCTTTGCAAATTTGACAAAACAGAAACTAACATACAATGCCTTAATTGCAGGAAAGGTGTCTTCCAGGGTTTCAGTGTCCCAGCTGCTGTAGGCTGTGACCTTAAGAATCACACCTCTGTCACTCAGTCACAACCAATAACAATCTGGGTACATAGATCCACTGGTCAACTGCCTTTCATGGTCTACCCTGAATTAGAACTACAAACTACATTAAAACACATTTTAAGTATGAATTTAATGAAAACATTTTCAGTAAATTGTAAGAAATATAAAAAAGTAGGAACTGAAGTGAAAAATTAGGGCTTTTTTTAGGAATTCCCTTTGATTTTTTTTATTTTTTAGGAATTTAAGCAAAACTGAAAAAAATAGGATTTTTTAGGAATTTTAGGGACGCTGGACAGCCCGCATATTGTATGTTAAACAAATAAAATACATTTCCATCAACATCAACAGTTTGTATTTGTTTCTGATTGGTTCTGTTTGTAGACATGAAATGAACAGTAATACAATGGTTACTGTTTTGTTCTACAAGTTTATAAATGAGGGAGAATATACATGTCACATTTCAATTACAAAATAATAACAAAAATACTGTTCCTTTGATAGACAAAAATTACATGTAAAATTCAGCATCATGACAACGTACATTTTTATCAAAAGTTCATATCCACAATAAATCAAATCTGGAATCGTCGCTCTTCAGTCTTAGTGGCTCACTTTTGTCCTTCTTGGATACATTTGGTTGAATTATGTGGGTCAGTAAGACTCCACTGAAACTAAATCAAAGACTTCCAAAAGGGTTTGAAGGTTGATGTACATAAACCTGATAAAAATCCAGCAGAAGAGCTTGTGAAATTGTTTAAATAATCCTGTGTAGAACCATACTTCTCGATGAATAACTACAGTAACAAATGTAGAGTTCACATTTTCTTTTTTGTTTTCTTTTTTTGTTTTTTTGTTTTTTGTTTTTTTCTAAAATTTACGGAATGTCTTTATGCAAGAATTATCATTCTAGCTGTCTACCTTTGTCTTCACAACTGGGAACGCCATCGATTCCGGAAAGTTCGTTCTTTCTGAAGACAGTCTGTTTAAATGTTCATGAAGCTATGACGGAATCAACGATTAAAGTTGAATGAAAATTAATAATAATTGATGATACTGAAGGCAATGTTTTTTTTCGTAACTGCCCGGATGGAATGTCCGTATTAGAGTTATCGCACTTTGTACACTCCATAGATTCTTGTTTATCGCTCGTGTAGACGGTTGGGGTGGAAACTCGTGTCAAGTAATAGTTGTTAAGCAAGATATTAATAATATCAGCGAGGAGATGGTATGCTGCATTAGCCTTATTACTTAAGATATTACTATTTTTATAGCTATCAGACAGTAGCCGGGCGACCGTATCTTTTGGACATCATTCAAGTTTCCAAACAGATATCTGTTACCGCCATCACTACATCAGTGACACAAACTCAATGGACATTTAAAAAAAAACTCTTTATGAAATACTTTAGTCGTTATAATCTATCTGTAAGAAATCCTACACTTACTTACACGTCATACCGTTAAAATAACGCTTTACTATTACATGAACAGCATTAAATATGGAACTTATTCAAGGTCACTATTTTGATCACTGTTCACAAATCCTTTATACATAAAAGGGAATATTTTATTAAAAGGCATCTGTAAATGTTGCATGAGCCTTACTTAAACACCAGTCACCAAAAGTAATATTATTTATATATATATCCATCTAGAATTCGCCAATACTTTTCTGTAGACGAGTCATATCGATCTTGGTCTTTCGACCATTTCCTATCATTTCGTTATTGGACCTCATACCGGAAGTAAAGATAGCCGGAAATTAATCACTGAATCTGTTGTGGTGGGATTTGGTGACAAATTTTCCTCTCGGCAGCAGAATGGTGTTCTAAAGACTTACAAGTTGCGCCTGGTGGCTCTGTAAGCAAAGGTATCTTGAGCTGTTTCTAGAATATTGACATATAGTTGTTTAAATTAATGTACATATCAAATAAACACTGTACTAAATGTAGTGCATTCCTTTGGCATTCATCACAGACAACGCTTTCCCATGGTTGTCATTATCGTCGAGAAGTTTCAGGAAAGCAGTCACAACGGTCTCAACACTGAAACAAACGGTTATAATCAGTATTCAAACATGTTCACTACATGTTTTATTTGTTCAGACACAAGCAATGATAGTTATGAACTCTTTTGAAATAAAGGCGATTTTACATGTGTACCACTCTCTTACTTTCTGACAAACAATCCATTGCTACACTCTACCATTTAGCACCGAAATCTTGCGGTATTTTGTAAATCTGTTTATGTATCTCCGGCATAGGAGATCCAAAGAGCGAAAATAACACGTTCACAATTTAAAAACTGATAATTATATGACACTATTTATTTGTACATTTGTATATACAAGTCAGCATGTCTGTAATTCGTGATGACAGTGAATTAAATTACTTGAACGTAATTTTGAGGAGGGAGCATCATTTAAACGTGTGTAAACTTAATGAGAGTAACAAAGACTTTAATTAGGTTTTATTCACATTGCTATCGTCACATATAGCAGACTTGGCCTAATAGTTTAATATCCTTTTGATGTGAAATGATATTTTAATTAATCAAATTTCGTAAAAAAGTAACATTGTCAGGTTGTCTTTTGAAACTAAACTATCTCTCCTTTGCATGAATTTTCATCTCCATTAAGCATGCAGTATTTTAGACTTCAGCTTTTAAATCTGCATTGTAGTTTAATATTTGTTATTTCATAGCTGGCTGAGGATGTACCTGTACAACAAGGTAAAACCAACCTATATTGACAACATTAATGTACAAACCTCATAATCCCTAGTTTGACTACGGAAGCATTGGCGATGTCGCTGTTGTGTACGGAATAGTCTGTCATTTTCATGATGTCAGTTTTAGTGTAGGCCGGACAAAGACAAACCATTCGAATATTGTTGTCTACCGATTCTGGGTTCTCCTACACGTGGATAAACAGATTGTTATTATCGTTGTATACACAAATTTTACATGTTGTACGCAAAACTATTCGCTGCTTCCATCTCTGTTAGTGAACGATCCGTTATCATTAACCTTCCTCTCATATATACAAAGCATGGCGTCCTCCCTGACAGAATTATACTTGTGAGCATATACCAAAAGATACCCACTCCATCATAACGTCCTCCCGGACATGATAAGGATAGCGTTTTTAATTCTAATCTACATTGGTTATACATTCACACACCCAGCTTTATCCAGATCATGAAGATAAGAGAGTTGTTTCCCTTCGATCAATTACAATGTGTTTATTGTCCACTGTATCAACATGATTTACTTGATATAAAATGATTAATTTAATATAACAAATTAATGACATTTTAACAGTATAAAGTATCCCCAACATTAACTTACAGCCCAGCTCTTCGTGTAAGCCACAACACCATATTTCGTCGCAGAGTATGCTGGGACATGGGCCACCGGAATGAGTCCTGGATTCACAACATACAAGTCATCGTAACACAGATAGCAAAATATCTTATAATGAACTGCAACGTCAACAACTTTAACCTGTGTAATTATTTTTAAAACGGAAAAGAAAATTCGAGGAACAAAAATAGAAGATTGTCTAATTCTTTAATTTTCTTTGTCCTCTTTTGATCTCAGTCTTAAAATCGATAACATTGAAGATGCAATGTCCTTTGTCCGACTTCAGTGAAACTGAGATCCATTTGTGTAGGTTTGGTACTCTCAACAGACGTTACCCACGATATATGGGACCATTCAATGTAAACTTCAAAGTGACATTTGTCTGAAGTGATTCAGGTATCCCGACTATCCTAACAGGTCACGTGATATACTTAACATGTATTAGACATAACAGTCATTCAAAGCTGGACACCGTTGAACATGTAGTACATCAATCTAAGCCAACCTCATAACCTTTCCTCTCTTTGGTGAACACTAAAACCGGGGTCCAGTAAAGCGTATGGAATGTAAACTATAGTTAGACAAGGAAGATATTTTTAAAATTTATTTTTGGCAGGAAATAGAGCATTATCAATTCTGAACGCAGCCAGCGGTTCTGCAGGAAAGGTTCACAGTTGTCTCTTTTACATAATGCAATGGATATTTCCACAAGATGACAGTGTCACTAGACACAAAATCCCCAACCCATGGAATCTATATATGTGTTCTATAGTGACATATATATGGACCGTGGGTTGGGAATTCGTGCCACTGTAGAGGAACAGAGTGTCACTCATTCTATAACGTTTTGTGAAGACCAATTATAACTAAGACCAATGATAACTAAGACAAATGATAACTGAACTATCCCTAAAGACTCCTACTATCATAGTCATTCGGATCTAGCTTGTCCATTACTAGTATATATACTACTTACCAGCCATAGATGCCACATTGACAATGATTCCCCCGCTGCCACCGTTGGCCGTTTTCATAGCCTCCATTCCCATCAATGTACCACTAATCACACCTTTCTGTTGGTAAAACAACAATTAAATAAAGCACGGTCATTCACGACTTCAAATTCGCTCTCAAACAGTTGACTGACGTTTATCAGTCGGATATAGTAGGATGCTTCAGACCAGGTCCCTCTGGTCATCAAGAACAGGTAAACTTTGGTCCACTTTGTACAACCTGTCGACCGTTTAAGTAAAACGTCGGCGATGAGAATGATACATATAGTATATTATGTATAATCTTCTTTAAATCAATTACTGAAAGCTTTCCTCTCAATACTGTAAACTCTACTGAGGTTTCTCAGAGCATCTGTGTTGATACGGGTACATGTTGTAATTCTGGTGCTAAACATATTACGGGGAATATCGGAAGTGATTATGTATGGTTACAAACGTTTACGGATTTCATTAAAAGCTATTCTAAACTTTAACGGAGATCCAGACGTGTTCTACGTTACAATCAGACGTGTTCTACGTTACAATCAGGCGTGTTCTACGTTACAATCAGACGTGTTCTACGTTACAATCAGGCGTGCTATACGTTACAATCAGACGTGTTCTACGTTACAATCAGACGTGTTCTACGTTACAATCAGGCGTGTTCTACGTTACAATCAGACGTGTTCTACGTTACAATCAGACGTGTTCTACGTTACAATCAGGCGTGTTCTACGTTACAATCAGGCGTGTTCTACGTTACAATCAGACGTGTTCTACGTTACAATCAGGCGTGCTATACGTTACAATCAGACGTGTTCTACGTTACAATCAGACGTGTTCTACGTTACAATCAGACGTGCTATACGTTACAATCAGACGTGTTCTACGTTACAATCAGACGTGTTCTACGTTACAATCAGGCGTGTTCTACGTTACAATCAGACGTGTTCTACGGAGCAATCAGACGTGTTCTACGTTACAATCAGACGTGTTCTACGGAGCAATCAGACGTGTTCTACGTTACAATCAGGCGTGTTCTACGTTACAATCAGACGTGTTCTACGTTACAATCAGGCGTGTTCTACGTTACAATCAGGCGTGTTCTACGTTACAATCAGGCGTGTTCTACGTTACAATCAGACGTGTTCTACGTTACAATCAGACGTGTTCTACGTTACAATCAGACGTGTTCTACGTTACAATCAGACGTGTTCTACGTTACAATCAGGCGTGCTATACGTTACAATCAGACGTGTTCTACGTTACAATCAGACGTGTTCTACGTTACAATCAGACGTGCTATACGTTACAATCAGACGTGTTCTACGTTACAATCAGACGTGTTCTACGTTACAATCAGACGTGTTCTACGTTACAATCAGACGTGTTCTACGTTACAATCAGGCGTGCTATACGTTACAATCAGACGTGTTCTACGTTACAATCAGACGTGTTCTACGGAGCAATCAGACGTGTTCTACGTTACAATCAGACGTGTTCTACGTTACAATCAGACGTGTTCTACGTTACAATCAGACGTGTTCTACGTTACAATCAGACGTGTTCTACGTTACAATCAGGCGTGCTATACGTTACAATCAGACGTGTTCTACGGAGCAATCAGACGTGTTCTACGTTACAATCAGACGTTACAATCAGACGTGTTCTACGTTACAATCAGGCGTGCTATACGTTACAATCAGACGTGTTATACGTTACAATCAGACGTGTTCTACGTTACAATCAGACGTGTTCTACGTTACAATCAGACGTGTTCTACGTTACAATCAGACGTGTTCTACGTTACAATCAGACGTGTTCTACGTTACAATCAGGCGTGTTCTACGTTACAATCAGGCGTGTTCTACGTTACAATCAGACGTGTTCTACGTTACAATCAGACGTGTTCTACGTTACAATCAGGCGTGTTCTACGTTACAATCAGACGTGTTCTACGTTACAATCAGACGTGTTCTACGTTACAATCAGACGTGTTCTACGGAGCAATCAGACGTGTTCTACGTTACAATCAGACGTGTTCTACGTTACAATCAGACGTGTTCTACGGAGCAATCAGACGTGTTCTACGTTACAATCAGACGTGTTCTACGTTACAATCAGGCGTGCTATACGTTACAATCAGACGTGTTCTACGTTACAATCAGGCGTGTTCTACGTTACAATCAGACGTGTTCTACGTTACAAGACGTGTTCTACGTTACAATCAGGCGTGCTATACGTTACAATCAGACGTGTTCTACGTTACAATCAGACGTGTTCTACGTAACAATCAGACGTGTTCTACGTTACAATCAGACGTGTTCTACGTAACAATCAGACGTGTTCTACGTTACAATCAGACGTGTTCTACGTTACAATCAGGCGTGTTCTACGTTACAATCAGGCGTGCTATACGTTACAATCAGACGTGTTCTACGTTACAATCAGGCGTGTTCTACGTTACAATCAGACGTTACAATCAGACGTGTTCTACGTTACAATCAGGCGTGTTCTACGGAGCAATCAGACGTGTTCTACGTTACAATCAGACGTGTTCTACGGAGCAATCAGACGTGTTCTACGTTACAATCAGACGTGTTCTACGTTACAATCAGACGTGTTCTACGTTACAATCAGGCGTGCTATACGTTACAATCAGACGTGTTCTACGTTACAATCAGACGTGTTCTACGTTACAATCAGACGTGTTCTACGTTACAATCAGACGTGTTCTACGTTACAATCAGACGTGTTCTACGTTACAATCAGGCGTGCTATACGTTACAATCAGACGTGTTCTACGGAGCAATCAGACGTGTTCTACGGGCAGAGGAAGTACGTTAATTGTGAAACGCGCGGACCTGGTGGAGAGAATGGCCGATTTTTTTTATAATGGTGTAAACGTCAGTTTTGAAATGGTGAATCACCGAGATGTTTCCGTAGAGTTACGGTGTGTTAACTTACCAGATTGATATCCACCATCTTATCCCATTTGCTTTCGTCAGCTATCCCCGCATTGTTTACCACTATGTCCAGTCCTTTCAAATCCTGCCTCGCTTTTGAAAATAAATCTTTAAAAGAAGATCGATATCATTAAGAATACATCTCGTTGTGGGTATAATAACTGTGGATAAAGGAAATGCATGCATGGGAATACACAATATATGGCTCTTAAGGTATGGAGATATGTATAAATTTCCTTCGGTATAATTTACAAACATATGAATATATTTTCAATTAACCTTTAAGGTTTGCCTCGACTGTAACGTCACATGGACAGCTGCACACATTTTCACGGCCAAATTTTGAGGCGTATTGGTCGTGCGTCGTCTGGAGGGTCTCGGGGTTGACGTCAGATAGACATACCTGTTTAAATAATGAACATAAGATTATTTCTTACCTGGAAGCAATCACACAAAAGCCTTCTGGTGAAAAGTGAGGGTAGGGGCGGGGATGAGGATGGGGGTGGGGGTGTGGTGGGAATCAACACAGTGATTACACTACTAACAGTTTAAGTTATCCATACAACCAACATTTCGTTACATGTTCTACGGATGGACAGACATACAGGGATTTCTTATTTCCACATTTTCTCGAGATTAAAGACAGGTTAATGTGGCGCAGTCTAGTATTACACGACATGGGATGGACATTACGTAATATTTAATGATGAAACAAAGATTATCTAATCCGTTAAGTTTTTGATCTCATATTATATCAATCTTACTCATCTACATTTTGTCATAGTTATAGGCAACTATTGAGGCAGTCACGTGTGAATAATTTTCAACGCACTGGAGTTGTGTAATCGTGTTACATTTAAATTGAACAAATATAGGTCCTACGATAAGTATCATATCGTGTCTTAACGTTAAAGACCTGGAATTTCTAAAGCTGAACTGATTTTACACGTTTGAACCATCTCTGAAATAGATTCAGGCCATCCACCTCTAATACCTCAACAGATTTCCGTGATTATCAACAAAAATATAGTATCGTCGTTATCGTATCAATTCAACACCAATTGCCAGAAATACTTGTGTATAAATATCAATATATCAGTGATCTCTACTTCATATACATGTTTAGTGATATACCAACGTTACAACGTCTATCGATTAGAAAATTTGGAGTTGTCACACCGTCAAAGACACAGGCATCCATATCAAGAGAATATATGAATTACATTCGATGACATGTTATCCACGCGCATATTTTACTACGTATAAATGACAGCGAAGTGATCCGAAATGCGCCCGGGATCAGTTTTTAAATATGTTATCTGTAAGTTAGTAGCTAGACAAAGTCCGAGTCACTCCCGTGTAGTCTGAAAGACTTAGAAATAAAAATGCTCTGTATAAATTATCCGTGATGGTGGTAGTAGGGGTATTAAGAGGTACCCCTATCCCAAGCTATTGCTTGTAGAATTCGCCATTGGTTGGTAACCCTGTTAGTTAAGTCTAATTTTGAGAGACTACGGTTGTCGACAGTGAGACAACACAGATGTCAACACTACTCCCGACCTTTGAACTCAGCTTTCCGCTTACTTAAATGTAGGCAAAGAGTACTCATTTTTCCAGTAGTAACTGTTTCCATGTGTGTCGATATAGTACCCAGATCCCATCAACAGCTTTACTTGAAACGTAAAATGACAGATATACTCACCCTGGCTCCGCGCTGGAGTAACGCTCCCGCGAACGCCTTGCCGAGTCCTTTACCTGACCCAGTTATAAGGGCAACCTTGTTAGCGACTTGCATTTCATCCAGTGATCCTTGGTTTAAAATAGTCAGTTTTTTGTCGTGTTTCCAAAACCGTATCAGTATGGTGATGTTTTGTTTACTTAGCACACGATCTTCTCCATCCACGTGTTCAATCTGTTTGAGATCCCACTCACTTTACAGGTGAATCGTCACGCCCTGTAAACATACATTGACTTTAAACGCACAAACCTTATCAAGATAAGTAGCATTTAAATTACTTATGATTGTCTGCAGATATAGACTACAAATGATATAGGTAGTTATGTGTTAACAGTCTATTAATTCTTTGTGTAGTGTAGACATTGAACCCAAGTTGTATGAATACGAGGCGACGGGCGCCCCACATGTTTTAGTAGGGTATATATAGCTAAGTAGTCACCAAATCATTCCAGTAGACCCCGGCAGATGTGTACCCTCCAAACCCGGCAGACGTGTACCCTCCAAACTAACAAGCGAGCTCACAAGAACAAGTTCAGTAGTATACAAGTCGAAAAGATCCCCGAAAAAATTATGAATCCGTCACCTTAGTTTCATATTAATGAGATGTACACGTCCATCTCGTGTGGTATGACCGAGTTGAATGAGTGAGGATGTAAGTTATAGTGACATGGTCAGACTTTAAATGTATATGCACAAGAGGGCCTTATCCCATAGATAAAGATCTTACCCGTTTTCATTAGGATATGTAAACAAGAAAACATTAATTGCTTTTTTTGTTGCTTGCATGGTCAGATGTAGGGAAGCGAACCTCTTGCAAATTTAATCAACTATTTCCCTACATCCCACCCTTCCTTCCCCCGCCCCTCATCACTGTTCATCTATGATGTTTAAATTGTGAAATAATAAAGTATATCTGACTCTACATTAAATTTATATCGCTTCCAGAGCTTCATCAACAACAAGGGAAGGACAGTTCGGAAGTGGTTCCATTAAAATCTTTACATATACTCGATTAGAAAAGGCAAGGGCAACATTTTTAACGTCCAGTTCTCTTCTGTTTTTAACTCCAGTGAGTGGTGCGACAACCTCAAGGACATGGAGAAAACCAGATACCGAGATCTAACACCTATCCATGTGCCCTCAGAGGGATTTAGGAAATTCTCACTAAGCCTGAACATATACAAGGTCTCAGGACCCGACCGAATACCAGCAAAGAACAGAATGGAAAACTACAGACCTGTCACCCTGACAACAGGTATCTGTAAGTTGTTGGAGCACATCATTTGCAGCAGCTAGGTACAACATCTGGACCATCACAATATACTTACAGTCGCACAACATGGCTACATGAAACGACGCTCCTTTGTGACAGAAGCCGATTCTAGCCACTCGTGCCCCGGCCAAATGTATCAACACTAAGGGTCAAACAGACGTCATTCTTCTGGACTTTTCCAAAGCGTCTGACGAGGTTCCACATGCCAGAGTGTTATACAAACTGCAACATTATGTAGTGAGGGAAACATCCACAAATGAATAAGGGACTCCCTAAGTGGACGCCCAAAACAAGTAGTACTCGACGGTTGTCAGCCAGAACGAAAGCACACTACACACTTCTAACATTGACAAATGATGTCATCCAAAGTAATTAGTTACATTTAGATGGGACGAAGTCAATCTGTATTACATCACAAATAACTTCTATAAAAGATTGCTATTGTTAAAATGTCTTTAATCTAAACAGCATTGAAGCTTCCTTTTTCGATTGCCTTTGCTGAGAGCAACGCTACAAATTGACTAATTATGCGCCGAACTGTCGGTGTGTTCGTGGCTCGTGAGTCGGATCCATATTTCGGACAGGTAAGTATATAACATATACTCACCTGTCTTGTACTACTGTACCTGCCTTCTGATTGGATAGTTTGGGTTTGTAAGTCTTGGGCGAAGCGGGTTCTCGAAATACTTTATTCGATTTTGACAAGTTTTGAGGATTTTTTTTTATCTCGCATCCTCCCTCTCATTTGAAATGTTTAGTGTTTGGTTTCTAGTGGATAGTTGTGGATTGTTTTGAGAGAATCGAGTTGTGCAATTTCACTGAAGTATGTGCAAGTTATGCTTTCTTTGTGTGACAGTTGATGTTTGTGCTTTCAGCCTGTTTAATTTATTGCTTATCTTAATTGTGCATGTGTTCAATTGTTTTGAATTATATTTCAATGTGCTTCAGTTCAACTACAAATACTAGTATGTTATTTGTTGAGCTAATGTTGATGGTAGTGAAGTGCATCAATTTATTGACTGCTGAAATGTATTTATGGACAGATATTAGCATTCAGCATCAGTACCATTGTCAGACGTTTACATCATATAACTTTAGAGCACGTGCACTCTTTCTTCGTATAAGACATAGTGTTTATATTTCAATAAACTCATTTCCCGCAATTTTTGAGTTTTAGTTTTCTTTTGAATAGGGAAGTGAATGATTTTTATGATTGTAATAGTTCCAGCTAAGGCAGTGAAGTTAATCCATCATCCAGAGTTCTCTAATGTGAGTGACTGCGCGTTCGGGAAATTACCATAGCGGATACATGTAAAACATTTTAATGATGAAAAAGTTACGACCATAAATGCTTTGGTGGTGGTCAGCAGATAAAATATGTTCGCATTCAGGAAAAAAGAATTCCTACATGAGCCTCACACGCTTCCGTACGAATGCCACTAAACCGTTTAAGTTATCTTACTGGAAATTGTCAAAATCAACAGTTTAAATTAAGTTGTTTTTATGAGGTTTTATGAGACTTTTTTTAGAAGTTATGTATATATACGAACCTTGACGGGTAAACAGTATAATTTCGAGACTAGTTCAGGAACTCTCATATGAAACGACCCCCCCCCCCCAAAAAAAAAAAAAAAAAAAAAATTAAAACATAACACAGGAAAATTACATTTTGAGTTTTGAAAGTAAGAATGTGGCTGACGCGATCAAACAAGAGACATTTTGTTGTCCTACTTTCGTTTCATAGCGTCATTGTCCACATTATGACGTCACAATTAATTTCAGACTGACACAGTCAAACAACAATAATATTTGAAAAAAAACATGGTGAATGTTTTCATTATGTGGTTAGTGTTTATGAATAAAACTGATTTTCAAGCAGTCTTGTAGATTGAAATCACATAATACATGACATACATGTTTATAATTGAACATATACAAATCACGTGTAATGTAGTACTTAAACTAAATGCATGACATAAATCAGACGAAAAAAATGTATATCTTAGACAAATTATAGATGACAAGATTATTCCTATCAAGTTCCTCTGGCCGACGATCTCTGGGTACAGTATGCGTTGACCGAGTTAGTGAGGATTGACGATCTCTGGGTACAGTATACGTTGACCGAGATCAGTGAGGATTGACGATCTCTGGGTACAGTATACGTTGACCGAGATCAGTGAGGATTGACGATCTCTGGGTACAGTATGTGTTGACCGAGATCAGTGAGGATTGACGATCTCTGGGTACAGTATACGTTGACCGAGATCAGTGAGGATTGACGATCTCTGGGTACAGTATGCGTTGACCGAGATCAGTGAGGATTGACGATCTCTGGGTACAGTTGACCGAGATCAGTGAGGATTGACGATCTCTGGGTACAGTATGTGTTGACCGAGATCAGTGAGGATTGACGATCTCTGGGTACAGTATGCGTTGACCGAGATCAGTGAGGATTGACGATCTCTGGGTACAGTATACGTTGACCGAGATCAGTGAGGATTGACGATCTCTGGGTACAGTATGCGTTGACCGAGATCAGTGAGGATTGACGATCTCTGGGTACAGTATACGTTGACCGAGATCAGTGAGGATTGACGATCTCTGGGTACAGTATACGTTGACCGAGATCAGTGAGGATTGACGATCTCTGGGTACAGTATACGTTGACCGAGATCAGTGAGGATTGACGATCTCTGGGTACAGTATACGTTGACCGAGATCAGTGAGGATTGACGATCTTTGGGTACAGTATGCGTTGACCGAGATCAGTGAGGATTGACGATCTCTGGGTACAGTTGACCGAGATCAGTGAGGATTGACGATCTCTGGGTACAGTTGACCGAGATCAGTGAGGATTGACGATCTCTGGGTACAGTATACGTTGACCGAGTTAGTGAGGATTGACGATCTCTGGGTACAGTATGTGTTGACCGAGATCAGTGAGGATTGACGATCTCTGGGTACAGTTGACCGAGATCAGTGAGGATTGACGATCTCTGGGTACAGTATGCGTTGACCGAGATCAGTGAGGATTGACGATCTCTGGGTACAGTATACGTTGACCGAGATCAGTGAGGATTGACGATCTCTGGGTACAGTATGCGTTGACCGAGATCAGTGAGGATTGACGATCTCTGGGTACAGTTGACCGAGATCAGTGAGGATTGACGATCTCTGGGTACAGTATACGTTGACCGAGATCAGTGAGGATTGACGATCTCTGGGTACAGTATGCGTTGACCGAGATCAGTGAGGATTGACGATCTCTGGGTACAGTTGACCGAGATCAGTGAGGATTGACGATCTCTGGGTACAGTATACGTTGACCGAGATCAGTGAGGATTGACGATCTCTGGGTACAGTATGTGTTGACCGAGATCAGTGAGGATTGACGATCTCTGGGTACAGTATGTGTTGACCGAGATCAGTGAGGATTGACGATCTCTGGGTACAGTATGCGTTGACCGAGATCAGTGAGGATTGACGATCTCTGGGTACAGTATACGTTGACCGAGATCAGTGAGGATTGACGATCTCTGGGTACAGTATACGTTGACCGAGATCAGTGAGGATTGACGATCTCTGGGTACAGTATACGTTGACCGAGATCAGTGAGGATTGACGATCTCTGGGTACAGTATACGTTGACCGAGATCAGTGAGGATTGACGATCTCTGGGTACAGTATACGTTGACCGAGATCAGTGAGGATTGACGATCTCTGGGTACAGTATACGTTGACCGAGATCAGTGAGGATTGACGATCTCTGGGTACAGTATACGTT